TATTTAATTTCTCAATACATATAAAGCATACAGGTGAGCCAGCATTATTTGCAGTTAAAGCAAAGTAATCTATAGCTGCAGAAATAAACTCTATTTCCTACGTGACTTTCCTTTTTTTGGATTTATCCATTGTTAGTTTTCCAAGAGTCAGGATTATCCCCCTTCAGGGAAATGTGACGGACCGTAGATATAAAAGGATGTTACGCATATATAAGTATTAATACATATCAAAACATTACTAAACATTACTACATGTGTTTTTATTTAATTTGTCAAAAAATAATCGTCAAATAATCAATTTGATAGAGCAATCCAAAAGTTACATTACTGTACATACACTTTACGAACGCCTGAGGTTAAAACAATACAAAAATATATCAAATATATTAACCCTATTTTTTTTGTGGCCTTTCTAAAAGGAAATCTGAGGTGTACAGTAGCAGTGTTTTTCATCTCAGCAAATGAAATGAAGAGGGGTATAAACAATACAAATAACCTTAACATGAGATACACAAACAAATTCACATGGATGAGGTTGCTAGGTGACGTGATTAAGTTTAATCAGGGAAGACGTCATTGGATACTAGCAATGTTAGAATGAATGCTGAATGAAAATGTAGCTGCTTTATTGACAGTCCTTTTCAGTTTGTGTACAGTCTTGTGCTCTCTAAAGTAGATCGGTAAAAGATCCACAGGAACCTGATTCCCATACCATAACTCTTGAGGCGCCTCAGGAAGTAAAGCCCCTGCCCTGTCAGGCTAAGGGGTGGGGAATCTGTAAGCGGTTGACCAATCACAACAGAGCAGGCCAGCTAACCAATCAGAGCAGACTGGGCTCTGGTTTCAGACAGAGGGTGAAAAGAGGTGCTGCAGCACAGGCAGTATGAGAACAATAAAGAGCTTTCTGAACATTAAAGCATGCAACATGTCACAGTAGAGACTCAAAATGCTAATATGAACCTGAAATGAGCATAACATGTCCTAAATGATATGAAGAATTGTGTTATTGATGGCCTTAGGGTTACAAACTCAATGTAGAACAAAAGTGCTGGCATCGCCCTTGTTTTCTTGTTGATTATGGATTTTTTGACACATTTTTCAGCGTTTTTGGCCTGGGTTGTGCCTTTCTTCCAGAACTAAATTCAGTCTACTTTATGTTATATCCCTGCAAAAGATGAATACATTTATACATTTTGACACACTTTTAACTCCACAAACATTGCTCCCAGCGTGCAATGCTCGGCTCCTACACATCTTCAAACATAGCTGGTCGGGTTTCTGTTAAACCTTTTTAAAAGTCAAGCTGCGAAAGAGAAAAACAAAATGTCCTTTTAATTAAAAAATATATTGGATTTCTTATCAGGTCGGGGAGCTGCCAGCTACTTTCAGTCACATGCCACAAAAGAAACAAGTGATGCAACAGTTAGTCGTAAATCTCTCGTGACAAGGAGGGGATTTAGACAAATTGGTTCTCAGAGTTATATCAGTTGACATTAAAGTCTCGATTTAGACCTGGCACATTCTTTATAACATTTCTCCTTATTTTTCTTCTGTATGCATGAAAATGTCAAAACTTTAAACCCTATCAAAGTTAACATTTTTCGTTTTACAACTCTCACCTCAAATCAATCTTGTCTCGCTTTCCTCGTCTTCAGTCCCAATTATCAACTTAAGCTTTGGCAGTTTTTTTGGCAGATTATCTTACTTTTCTTTCCGCAAACACAGAGGTTATGTCTCACTGTGGAGCCTTGCTGCTTTTCTCCTGCTCTCCCTTTCTTCTTAAATCAGTGAACAATGTGGAGGAGGCAGGGGGCTGTCAGAAGTCAGCCAGCCTGTTCATTAAAGCCATTAACATTTTTCATTCTGATTATCCCTTGTAAAAACAATAGTACTTGACCTCTGTGAGAAGAAAGTGGAGAGGAAGAGCCTCTACTGTGACATGTCTCCATGCTTTAATGTTCAAAAAGCTCTTTATTTTTCTCATACTGCCTGTGCTGCAGCCAGACCCGGCGCCAGAACAAATCTAAAGGGAGGGCACACAAAACGTCACGTGCTGCGGGACTGCGGCACAATATATATCAAACAGCAAGGCCAACAGCATTGCGTAAAGACGCACACTTATCGCAAACATACACAAATAAAGGGCAACATAGCAACCACTTTGAAACATTGTGTGCGTGGCAGCACAGACACTGGTAAATCACGAGCAAGGCAGACTTATGGATGGCAGCTTCCTCATCGCTGCACTCGGAGAGAAATAGTAGAGACGGAGACGTTGAACTGTTTAGCCCGCCTTGGGCATGGTTTATGTTCCTATGCACTGCACTCGGACATGCTGTGGAGTGAATCGAGTCACCTCTGAGAGGGAGTTGGTTGACAGCTAAAAAAGCCATAATATCAACGACAGCTGACACGTAATAACGGCTCAGTGCCAGCTGATCTGCACCAAAGTAGCCTACTCATTTCCTTATTTGTTTCCTCGCGTATCTCTCTATCTCCACAAACTCTCACATGAAATGTGTTATTTTGATGCAGCATGTCTTAGCAGTCCTTTATCAGTCTGTAATGCGTGTTTCCAGTCGCAAAAACCTTTGACAGTAAAAGCCGCATCAGATGAAGACGTATTTACTTGAAACTGTCTACAGGGGAATCAAAAGGCTGCGTCTGCTTTTAACAAATCTTCAAGCCATGCTCTGTTGTGTACCATGCAGCGGCAAAAGTGCGCTTCTTTCCTGAAAACAATCTCCCTGGATAACGATCCAGTTTCACCTGCTTGGGTTTATTAACCCCAAGATCATCGCTAACTCAGCCCCGGGGTTTGCCGAGGTCAAGCTTGTGACATTAAGGCGTGCTGCTGCAACGGCAGGTGCAGGGTCGCCAGCAGCACCATCGGCTGCAGTTCTTTCATCGCTATTTCGTTTTAATAAATCCTTAGACCTTTTAAGCCAATTTCTGATGTCCATTTTGTCATTCAAACAGAAATGGGAGTCTACAGAATGCACAATAAACAAATCCAGAATAGGCGGCAGAGTGTGACGCTGTGATTGGTCTAAATGGGGACGAATCACAAATCACAACAGACACATGCATTTATTTGACGTAGCCTGGTGCCTGCGATTTTTTTTTTTAGTTCTGACATCACATACATCGTAGCATAAAAGTTCACAGTTTATTTATAATTAAAAAAATAAAATATATTTTTTAATTTTTATAAATAATAAAAAACGTGTTTATTGGGGGAGGGCAGGAATGTCAAATGGGAGGGCCTGGCCCTCCCACGGCACCGGGCATGGCTGCAGCACCTCTTTTCACCCTCTGTCTGAAACCAGAGCCCAGTCTGCTCTGATTGGTTAGCTGGCCGGCTCTGTTGTGTAAGGTGTTATCACACCAGACGCAAACCGAAAGTTCACCTCACGTACTCGCGCTGACTGTGGCATCATTTGTGCTTACTAGCGTCACTGAAACTAGAAGTGCCAGCGAGGAGGTGGACTCTTCTCCATGTAGATACCAACAACATTATTTATCGCTAAAGATGAACAAATGTAGCTCTCGCAAATGAAGTGTGGCCGCCTCATTGCATTGACTTTACATGAAATTGCGCACAGAAAACTGTTGGAGCGAAAAATCCCTCTGGAGGGAACACAGGGATTTTAGCCTTTGTGCACAAAAACCTATAGAACACACTACAGGAAAGGGAAACCCCCCAAAAAGCAGAATATAACTCTCATAGTGACTCCATACAGTGACAAAGTTGCTCTGGAGCCAGCAGTCATTACAGATTTATCATATCTCAACAATTTCCACTGCTCACTTCAATCTCCCTTTTTTGTTTTCTAAAAGAAAATTTGGATCAAGGTTGGCAATGCGACTTAATTGAGTGTTATTGAGTAGAGTTTTCAAAAATGATCAAAGGAGAGCTGCATTAGAGTGGTTGAAAAGCAAAAAAGTGGTCAAGATGTTCTGTTTGTCAGTGATTCATGATGCTGTCACACACTTCACCTGTTCTGCCCTCTCTGTCTGCTCAACTGTGTCGAATGGATTCTCCAGGATTTGCTTTCAAGAAAGAATTTGCAATATTTTGTTTTGATATGACAATTTTCATTCCAATTAACTGACAAAAGACTGACTTTTGATGTAGAATCAAACTAAATGAAGAATATACATGAATGGAACATACACTCATATTACAAATGATTGGGAATTATTAAATGTACATTAAACTGGATGAAAGGGTATGGAAGATGCTTAGTATATGGAGAAAAGGTTTATTCTTTCTCCCTCTTTTCTCTCATTTAACTCTTAAGTCTTATTTTTCTTTTATCACCTACAATTGTATTTGTGCTTCTACATATTTTTCATATCTTACCAAATTACTTGTGATTCAGAAGAGTATCACTGTCCATTGATAAGGCACACATTGTTATGTTCAAATACATAATTCAGGCAATATCTCAAGTGCACATTTCACGATTTCTTCGATGTTACCCATATGCTAAAAAAGATTTTCATTGACATATTTTAAACAATTTTAAGGTCCACAATTATCTATTTCTCTGATTATGCCACAGAAATCCTCCTTGCCAGCTTTTGGACCCAAATATTATTTTACCTTCTTGGTTGTAAATATCTATTAATTCTAGCTTTTTTTCTTCTTCTTGCTTTCTTTTATTTAGTTTTGATCTTGCCTATGTTTGCTTTTGTGTTTTGTGTGTATTGAAATGTGTTGTTTTGTGTGTAATAATAATTGTTCTGTGTTTGTTAAAATAAGGGGTTATTGAAGCCTTTAAGACTTAATTTCTCTCTTGCACAGCATTTCAGTATTCCCTATTAGTGCTTTGTATCCTAATAATGCAACAAACAAACCCACTAAACTAATCAACATTGCTAAATGACTAACTTGGACCAAATCATTGTGATGGGCCAACCCACCATGTTGGGAACCACTGACACACTATGTGTTTACCTGACCTTCACAAGTGTTCTGCCCCTCCTCCCAACAGGTCAACGCGTTCCTGTCTTTTGTGATCCCCATGGTGGTCATATCTACGCTGAACGGGGTCATAGCCAATCAGCTGCTTCGAATGTTCCGGGAGGCGGAGCAAGAAAACCGAGTCTGCATCGTTGGAGGAAATCCCACCATGCTGAACGTCACTGTGGAGCCCAACCGCGCTCAGTCACTCCGCCATGGGGTTCTCGTTCTCCGTAAGTGGACACACACACACACACTATAGGAAATGTGAAGTGAGCAACACCAAGTCGGCCATCTTTGAAGCTGCAACTGTAGACATACCATTACGGGGAAGCTAGGTAGCATTGACCCTTTACTTCAATTTTTTTAAAACATTGTTGTTAAGCACAGCTAATCCCAGCACTAACGAACAAAACTGTTTTCCGTTTCATTTGTTTCCAACGTGGAAATGTACGAGGGAGACAGAGCTATCATCAGCAAGAGACCCTGAATGGTTTGGGTGGCAGCCATCTGCTGACTGTTTAATGTCAAAATAATTGCTGAACAGTAACACAAACCACTAAGAGGGAATGAGACTTTATTAAATTCTGATGCAAAACGGCTGACAGACGATGGGTGAAAGTGAATAGATATTTGCCACCTCTGCCGTTGCTACAGTCACCCTATACAAAAGGAAAGGAGGTTATTATTATGTGTTAGTGTCATGGATAGCTCTTCATGTCACTTGTAATAGTGCATTTTAGTATTTTAAATTGATAAATCAATGAATTACTTCAATCCATTAAAATGGTCAGTTACGCATTATGCACAGATTTACATGAACATATTTCAGCTGTTCGCGCACAACCACAATATATGGAAGTAGGAATGCAGGCTACGAGTTATTTTGATTAGTGAAAAATCTTTGCTTGGATGCAGTCTCACTTCTAACCTTAGGTTACACACACTTATGTTCTGTTTGGGACTTATTTCAATTCAGTTTCAATTAGTGTGGACAAAAAGACACACAATGGTTAGATTTATGCGTGATCCGAATTGTTTTCAGGTGGATTATGTGCCTATTTCATAGTCATGACCTCGTTTGGTCCAACCAGATGGAACAGTAGAACATCTGCGGAAACAGTTGTATTTATCCTGGTGCTTATTTTTTAAAAAGCGTTACATTCTGGTCTCCTCTGTGAATATATATATCAATGTATTTAACCCAGAGTTACGACTTTTGTCATCTGACTTTATTCTTGTTATATTACAACTTTTTAAAATAAAATCAAGACTTACCCTAAAAAAATGTAGATTTTCTTTCCTCATCCGCAATTACTCAGATTCGATTGAAATGAACAGCAGGAGAGACAGCACACCCACTAATGTTTCATTCACACATACACGTTCACACGCATGCACACTTCAACACTTTTAAACATCAACTTGGGTGCTCCATCAAACTGTCAGTAATCTGCACTTCACTCACCTCAGTGGAGTAAATTCAACCTATTCCTCACTCTAATCTAGTCAGTGATGGAGTGCTGTATCAAACCAACATTATAAATAACATGCTGATTGTCATTTTTTTAAACAACATACTAATCACTTCATTTGAATTCAAACTGCTACCATTACATTTGAGATATTACTTTTGATAAGAATAGCTAGATTTTCATTATTATAAAATGCTAAACCAACATTTTGACAATTCCTTGTTAACAGTATAACTTAACTTGATTTAAAGGGACCCTATTATGTACATTTGTGGGTTCATATTTGTATCGTGTGCCTATACTGTGAGATGCCTCCATCCTTTAATGTTAAAAAATGTTCAAAAAGAAACCAGAGCCCAGTCTGCTCTGATCGGTTAGCTGGCTGGCTCTGTTGTGATTAGTCAACCGCTTAGAGATGTCCCACCCTTAGCCTCAGGTACAATGTTGTACAATTTTGTGTTTGTGTCAAATATGACCGATATGACCTTACATCAATCTTAAATATTGTGTTTTACATTTGATTGCTTCAAGGCCTTATGATATCCCCAGTGGTGTAGTGGGCGTTGGACGCGGGGGTACGCCGTACCCCCACTTATTTGGAGCATGATCTTTTTTTTAATAGTCTAATAAATATAAAATCATTGCCAGTCTTATCAGTTGCAAGTGTGTATTTGTTGTAATAATGACAAAAACATAATACATTTCACAGTAATTATAATAAAAAATAAAAACGATTTCCTTCAAAAATGATGGTTCGTCATCACGCTCGTGACCCCGCGGCGAGCTGGGGTTGTGTCAGTGACACACCCACGGCCAGCTCACCGCCCGTCGATTTTGCGGCAGCTCTTTCCCTCAAGAACGCTAACGAAAAAGCTCTATAATGGAAGGAAAACGTTTTTTACTTGACTTATTATCTAAAAAGAATATAATTCACAAGAAGAAAGAGGCTAGCAGCACCGAAGCTACAAGTGAAACTGCTACTAGTACTACATCATCAGAAGAGCCGCCTAAAGACGTGGATAATGCTAGCTAACGTGCACGTTAGCTACGCTAGCAACGTTCCCCTGGCTAGCTCAAGCTCATCTTTCCCAGAGGTATGGACGGAGGAGATGTGGCGGAGGAAACAAGAGGCTACCCGTGGATAGACTGCAAAGCTGGGAAACTGGGCTGCGGTTCATCCATTTCGGATTTATCAGTCTTCAAAACGCAAGGTGTGTGTGTGTGTGTGTGTGTGTGTGTGTGTGTGTGTGTGTGTGTGTGTGTGTGTGTGTGTGTGTGTGTGTGTGTGTGTGGTGTGTGTGTGTGTGTGTGTGTGTGTGTGTGTGTGTGTGTGTGTGTGTGTGTGTGTGTGTGTGTGTGTGTGTGTGTGTGTGTGTGTGTGTGTGTGTGTGTGTGTGTGTGTGTGTGTGTGTGTGTGAGAAGCAGTCTGCTTATTTGCAATGTAGGCTAGACCTAATCAGAATAATTTCAAGTCCAGATTCAATGTTGGCATTAGTAGGCTATATTTTTCGTTTCGTTTATTTAATAAGTTAATTTCAGGACAACTTTGGGAATTTTGTTTGTTTGTTATGAGTTTTAAATATATTTTGAAAGTGGAGATAGAGAGAAGCAGCGCTGTCTGCTTAGTTGTAGTTTATGCAATTTAGGCTTATAAATTGTTGTAATTTATGTGCCAGTGTGTCCATGGTTTTGAGTCTGTGTGTGTGTTGAGCGCAGCGCTGTCTGCTTTTTGAAGTACAGTAACTAAAGTAGGACTAAGCATACCGGTAGTTTCTGTGGACCTGTCTGCCCGTTTTGTGAGTGCACTGCGCGCTTGCGCACTTGTGTGGCATTGTTTGGGATGACCTAATTAAAATAGCGTCCCCCCAGTAAAAAAATCCCCACTACACCACTGGATATCCCCCACAGTAGGCATTTGAACAAACTATTGCTGATCATCCCTATCATGAATTCTGTGTGGTTTAGTCAACTTTGTTACACCTATGGTGTTCCTGTTAAAAAATGACCATCATAGAATATTCACTGCCGTTTTTCATGTAAACCAGTAGTCTGAGACATTGATTACAGCTTAAATAAAATGTGGTGATGATTACTGTTTTTTTTTGTGTTAATGAAAGAGCAGTTAGACTGGTCAAATTTGACGGGGCACAAAAAGTAAGGGGGAAGAAATGGACACGACTGGAGGGTTAAGCTCTGTCTCTAATAGATATCTCATGACAATGCTGACATTCCATTAGGGATGTGTAATTAAATGCATTGTGCATTTCTATAATGGTTCAGCTATAATGGTTCAGCTATAATGGTTCGCTGCCATTGTTCTGACCTATGTCATCATATCACAGATTAAATCAGATTAGTGTAGTAGCCAGAGAGTTGTGCCTCTAATACGCAGTTACTGCTGTTCTTTCCCTAAGCGTCAAGGGTACTGTTGCACTTTAGTGACGCCCTAATTAGATTGGTATTGCCATTCAATTTTAATTACGGGAAAATTATTTCTCATACTATTTTGACTGTGATTGGCATCTCTATGACACAGATGTCCTGTCGAGCCTGACTGTAATGCGCTTCACGTTCTGTACTCATTAATTATGAGACTGAGACATTGACCCGATAGGGGCACAGACATATTCCCCCTCTTGACTCCCCCTTCTATCCCTTTCTCTGTCCTTCTTTAACTTAATTAGAACAGCCCTCTATCTGTGTTTGTGGATGTGTGTGGGTGGATTACAGCAATTATTCTAGGAACATTGAACCAGTGAACGAACAGGGGACATTTGGAGGGCCACTGTTGGACATGATCTAAATCAAGAAATAAATCATAAAATAAAATAAAAAGAACCGTATAATCTTTAAAGAAAAAAAAGTAAGGAAAAATTAAAGAAATCAGAGTAAAGTTCCAAATAAAACAGTTATTAGGTTTTAAAAGCACAAGATTTCAAGAAATTGAAGAAGTGTGTGTGTGTGTGTGTGTGTGTGTGTGTTGTGTGTGTGTGTGTTGGTGTGTGGTGTGTGTGTGTGTGTGTGTGTGTGTGTGTGTGGTGTGTGTGTGTGTGTGTGTGTGTGTGTGTGTGTGTGTGTGTGTGTGTGTGTGTGTGTGTGTGTGTGTGTGTGTGTGTGTGTGTGTGTGTGTGTGTTGTGTGTGTGTGTGTGTGTGTGTGTGTGTGGTGTGTGTGTGTGTGTGTGTGTGTGTGGTGTGTGTGTGTGTGTGTGTGTGTGTTGATGGTGTCCCTATGTGTGAGCTGAGCAGACAGTGCTGCACCATTCTGTCTCTGGTAAACATCTTAAATTGCTGTGTGGGCTCCAATTTTGTTAAATTGACTCAAAGTGCCCTTTTGAAGCTTGATGAGTGCAAAAATAGTCCATCTAAAGAGAGAGCTCCAGAAAAGGCATCCAAATGTCTTCAGTTTAGGTTCACTTGAATCAATGCAGGAGGCAGATTTTATGTATGGGGTTAGGGTTGGAACATCTAAACAGGGTAAGGTTTAACTACACAAATTAACAGAACTTTAGCTGCAATCTTTCATAAAACAATAAATATTATTAAATGTCACATCACATTATTGGCCTGTGAGATTGTATGACGTATAGTTTTTTAAACTGTGAGTCTGTTAGGTGGGATTACATTAGGGCATAATTTGTGTTGGGAACAAAGCTAAATATTGTAGTAATGTCATATTTCAGTCTTCACTAGATGGTTGAGATATGTGCTTAAAGAGCTGAGGCAGCAGACGGTGGATTAACAAGGTTTCATCGCTATT